AACACATATATATTTATATATATATATATATATATATATATGTACATTTAAGGCTTGTAAGTCCATTTGGTGCTATTAAAGTTTATTTTCTATTGCTTACCATACTTTTTAACAATGTCTCTGATAAATTTTTAGAACATCTGTGTCCTTTCAATTATAAGACACATCTTTTGCACATGTTCTCTTATGTGTAGGTGTGGTGTCCCTTTATATTATAAATATACCGAAATAAGTATATTATTAAATAAGCTTGTGTATAGAAATTTCCTTCTATTGAGTAAATTATAATAACAAGGTTCGATAGGAGGGGAGCACAACAGCACACATTGCTTTTTTGGACCATTTCACATTAAAATTTTGCTAAAGGGTGATTAAAGTTTTCCTAACGAGCAGACGTGAACACATGTGCACAAATAAGAAATAAGGAGCGTATGGCGAATCAAGGGAAAAGTTATAAAAAATTTCTCTTTTCATTCCTTGATAAGATCGACCAACTTGGAATGGAACCGATTTTTTTTTTTGTTGTTTCTCATAATTGCCATAATTTATATCGATATAGAGAATATAGAAAGTTATTTACTGTTATCACAGTCTTTCGTAGCGGTGCCCTGTCTCTCGTCAATATTATCTAACTGGGATTAAGTTGGACAAGAGAGAAGTAAGGAAATTATATTCCTCTAAAAATATAACTCGAATACCTATTATTAATTCTATGTTAAATTGTACTCTTCTTGGAATGAATCTCGAATACTTGTTGGGTACCTTCTGAAGTAGTCGTTCTATGTTACTCCTTGACTGTAAGATACGATTGAGGATATTTTTTCACTTTTCATATTGATATAAATTATAGGTCGCCCTAGGCTATTAATGAAAATGGAACCAAGCCATGCACGCTACTCTGATGAATCGGGCTAACATGAGTTTTTTTTTTTCTGCGTCTAATTCTTACTTATCGACAAAAACGACTAACTAAGTGGTAGATTAGTATTAGTTTGCATTCAGCTGATGGCGGTTGTAATTGAGCCTTCTTATATATTTATTTTATAAATCAATAAATCAATTAAACATCCTACACATACACTTTATTCGTTTTTGTGTCAGCAGGTTTCTTATATCTCGTTGTTACTTTCCATGAAAACACTGCTATCCCATGACAGGGAAAACGACACCAATATCATCCACGGGTGTGTTGCAACACGCTATAAATTACTGTGAAACTATTTTCACTATAAAATACTAAAAGTTGGAACTTGTTGTCGCTACAAAAGGCTTACTATCATATTGTTTTGAGGGAGTCTTCGTAAGGGTAGGAGTGAAAAGAATTCTTACGGCCCATCCATATTTTCCACATTGCCATATATATTTAGGTTTCGTTGATTCTTCAGCGATATGATGTGTTTTTCAAAGTTCGATGATTAGAATTAGGAAAGAAGGTTGGAAGAGTACGCTAAACCAAAAATCGATTTCTAATAGTGTACCCTTTGGCATAAATATATCAAAATAATATATTTCGAGTTAATTGACATGGAATTTATCAAGAGACGTCGGATAAACGGTTCTGCGAATTCGCGTATGAGTGTATCGCAATACCGGCCCAGTTTATGGAAAATGAATTTTTTTAATTCATTATTTTTGCAAATAAAAATTTATGCTAAATTTTTTTGGTTTAAAATGTGCGTATCATTATTGACTCCACGACAAAATGAAAGCATAAAGATTTAATTTGAATTTGCATTTGAATTAATTTTGGTGCGCTTTCTCCGACATTCTTTTAGAATACCGAACGTGCTTCATAACGTTTACACAGCGTTGCATGATCAGGAAAGGCAAGTGCGCTGTACCGAACAAATTTTTTTTATAGAAAAGTCCGTCTTGAAATGCGCCGGACAAAATAAAAGTTAGCTAAAATAATCTTACACTTAATCAACGCATACTTCTTAGCCTATATGTTGTCATGTCTGCTCATATCTTTTTCAAAAATTCATAAATTTGAATACATTTGCCATATATTTGCAAACATATCGCCAGGGTCATGGTTATTGAGATTGCTACTCCCAAAGGATGGCATAATAAAAGCTGTTGTGGCGACAACGACAATAATATTGAAATAAAATTTAGGACAATATTCTGAGGACAATTCTCTCGAGTAGAAGCGAAATGAAGCATTAAATTTCCAACCATCAATGTAAACAAAATCAATAAGCGAGATTGTCGATTGTGTACGATGCACAATACAATCACAAATAGTACCTGAAACTCTCTAACAAATAAATTTGAAACCATTGCGTTGCGTTAGTAGAGATATTAAATAGTAACGAAAGCGAAAATTACAACTTTGTTGAACGTGTATAAAAGGTGTTCCTCAGATTTCACTATTAAGTCCCAAAACATTTGAAAACTTTTTTATATTGCAATCTGATGATATCGATGACGATGACACGTAGAAACTATAATGCTATGTAAGAGAAATCCAATGATGATTGTTAGTCGGCAGCGAGATGTTATAAAAATTATCCCCAAAGTAAAAGCCAGTTAATAAGCCTAGTATATGCAAAGCAGTCAAAATGTTTCCCAATATCTGGTATTATTCTTAACTTTTGGCGATTAGGAAGGTGCGGTACAAAATCGTCATAGTCATGTCAGTACGCTTGTCTCTTATTATTTACTGATAAGATGAAGACTCAGATTTAGAAACAACGCAAGCTTTCAAACTCATTAGAGTTTTTTCAGTCCCTTAATTTTTAACCCAGTATAGCCCCGTCATTGAAGGAAAGGGTGCAACTTGACATAATCATGTTAGTGTGTTAGTGTCCTATTGTTAGTACATTTAGATGATAGATACTCATGATGACCGCGAAACTCAAACTCCGTATAGTCCTGCCAATCTTTCTGTCTTTTCCTTGTTGTCCTTAAACCTATAGATATTTTTGATCACTTTCAAATAAACTCTCTGGCTTTATAAATGCTTTTGATGGGAGCAAATTTTATATTCATGTCACAATCAATGTCACTTTGTTTGTTTGCTTGCCTTCTCAGGAGTCATAAAAATGTTAGGTGAAAGCTTCAACTTGTGTGCACGATAATGCCTATATTAGGCAAATGACATGCAAACCTTCTATCTTGCTTTTAATCCGACTTTAGTTTAATTCAGTGTTAAATTGTCTTGATTGGTGGTCAATATGTCAAGAGCTAATACGATTAAATATAACCTCCTTAAAATATAGTCAGTGTATTTTGGAACACCCTTATATATATAAATATACCTATATATACCAATATATATAACACTTCTATTTGCCCTGGAAATTTAAATGTGAACACTATTCCATTTGCACAATTTCGATGACTTTAAACAATGACTACGAAATTGTGTACTTATGGACACTTTGGTTGTGTCCGTAACTAAAAACAGGCGCGTGTGTGCATACCTAGGTGTAAATTTTTTTAAACCTTTATTATTGTGCATGTGGTGTTAGTGGTAGGTAGTATTGTGTATATTATTGTGAGAGAGTGTTTCGCACAAATAAATTTGTTAATAATTTATAAATGTGTGCAATAAAAGCGAAACATATTTGTATTGCTTCTCGTCGGTAACTCGTTGTTGTATACCTTTTCGCAAGTCTGCTGCCTGTAAGCAAGCTTGTGTGTGCATATAAATAACCCGAACCCTCTAACAACGTATATTTTCAACTCAATTCAATATTCAATTGATGCATCTAGTAGTGTGTGTGTGCTTCCAGCTCAATTCGTTCCATGTGCCCCCCCTCCCCACCCCTTTCCCCTCAAACTTCACTCTTTGACCGGCCGTCTCACCTGAAATTATTTGTCTATATACCCTCGAGGCACATTAGAAATTTACTACACATATGTAGTAGACTTATATACATACACTCGTACTCATACACTAATGCTCAGGACGCAAGTCTGTCATTAATATATCGATGGACAGGCAGCGTAGTTTAAGGTTATATTGTATATGCATGTTGGTTATACTCAGCTTTCACTCTATAAAAGTTGTGTGAATGTTTTAATGGAAAAATGTTATAAATATTATGTATATAGGGCGTGTGGTGTGGGAGGTTGTTTTTCAATTTACCAAAAATTTTCAATAAATTTAAATGAATTCCTAAGAATTGATGCGCATGCATACATGCAGACAAACAGACGGACAGACAGACGACTGCTGCTGCTAATCTACTTTACCTTATTAAAGTTACACAAAAATATGTTTACTTACTTTTTCTGCTCTATTTTTTTGTTTCTTGCTTTTTCTTCTTCTTTTTCTTCTTTTTTTTTTTTTTTTTTTTTTTTTTTTGTCTATTTCTACATATTTTATGCAAACACATCTTCTTGCAATTTCTAAAGCAAATATTTGTACTCCGTAGCAGGTACACTACTACTGCTGCCTGCTTGCTACTTACTCTCTTTTCAATCAACTTCAAGTTAAGACACATAAACAAACAAATATATGTTGTTGTACTGTACACTAAGGTTATGTGTACACTCACATTTATTTGCATTCAACCATTTCTCTCAACTAACTCAAGCATATAAAGTTTTATTCACATTTTCTCAAAATAAGCATAAAAATAAAACCAAAGAAGCATAAAATAATGCTGTGTTGTGTTGTGTTGTGTTGTGTGGCCTTCCCTCTTCTTAAATTGTTGCCTACTAACATTCATCTATAATTCACCTGCACACCGGGGCGCCAAAGCCTGTCAATTTGAAGCATATATACGTTATACGCTCTTACCAAAATGCATCTTAGGTGATTAATTTTTATTGGTATCGATTTTCAGTAGTTTTGCTGGAATCACTCGCTCTTTTCGTTTTTTTGTTTTTTTTTTTTTTTTTTTTATTCCTTTGCTTTTTATTTATTTGTTTTTTTTTTTGTTTTTTGTAGCCAAAAATAAAAACATTTTTTTTTGTTTTTCTTTTGTTTTTATGACTATTTCGTGCTCTCTCTTTCGATAAATTAATTGTTGTATTTGTTGTTGCAGCTATGAATCACCTCGACAAATTGCGCTTGTGGGGTAAGGCGATACGTGTTATGGCCAGCAAACATCAGGCCGTACAACTGCCAAAGGAGGGACAACCGGATGCCGGCCTTACTCGTGACTATTCTCAAAATCCGTTGCATAGATTCAAGAAACCAGGCAGCAAAAATTATCAAAATATTTATCCACCATCGGCAACACTGCATTTAAGTAACATTCCGTAAGTGAATAAAAAATTTTTCATTTCTTCTTATTTTTATCTCTTTTTTTATCACACACTACCTGGCGAATAGCAATTGTAATCTTTTTGTGGTAGTGTACAAGACGAATAAATGATTTAAAGATATCCTGCGCCATTCATTATCTTATGATTTCAGAAATTCTCATATGATTTTACCAGAGATCAAAAAAAAAATTTTCCTTTTTCATTGACAGGCTATAAAAACTCTCTCAGTGAGAGAGAGTCCATAATCAACAACTAACCCAGTTTACTCGATATCGAAAACAAGTATATGTACATAAAAGTCTTTCTAAATATCATACAAATGCAACTTTTCCATTGGGGAAACAATAATGATAACAGATATGATAATAGAAGGAGCCCTTAAATTACTATGGTTTCTATCTTTTCTCACTTTTCTCTTTATACACTAAGTGAGAACACAAGCTTCACGTAAAATCCGAACACAGCCAAAACATAGAAACTGGGCTATAGTGTAATCTATTTTAACATAGCTATGCAATTTAAAGAACTTCAATGCTCTGCCTATAGAAGTATTACTTGTCGTTGAACAGATAAGATAGAAAGTGAAAAATGAAATGAAAAAAAGGTCTCCTCTTAAGGACCCTTCTTACTTTAGCTAAAATTGGAAATACATATATGTAAATGGATCAACGTGAATTCCGCATATCTAGGTTATGTTCGGCGTTCAAAAAGTATTTGTAGTGTAGAGTTTTTAAGCGCCATTATATATGCCTTGAAAACTATATTCCGCAAATATTTATCAAAATGCGGGCAAATATTGCGGGTTTGGTTTTTCAAGAATAAGAAGAATGGATTATAGAAAAAAAAAAAAAAAAAATTATTATTTTATTATTATTCTTTTATTAATAATATTATATTGAACTGTGCCCCGTACTTTTAGATTCTATTCATTTACTTAGTATTTTGCTTTTTTCTTTTCAATCAGAAAAAAAATTTTTATTTTTATTCATATTTGCACAATTTCAATAATAAGATTGACTTATAGAAGAAATTTCTAATGAAGCAAAATGCACACATAGTGCTCTATTGTCCAATTATCGAAAAAATTACCCTGGTCGTGAATAAATTATATTCGTTATCAACTAACAACCACATCCTTCGCTTTATATGCGAATGGTTAGGTCCAGCCACACTTTAAATTGATCATGATCTCTGCATAATACCGATTCTCACTTAGTAGGCCAAGTCAGTCAAATGAAACAATAATCCAGGATCTGCATAGATTTTCTTACGACTGGCAAATCAATATATTGATTCTAATTGGTGTGTGGATGTGTAGCTTATAATGAACGCTTGATTGAATGTTTATTCCAACTTTCAAGCTACGATCGCAACTTGTTTCCTTATTTCCTGCTCTCACAGAACCTTGCAATGTTTATACACTTGTAGACGACCATCGCTGAGTGACCTACCACCCATAAGAAAAAGTAACCCTACTGCGTTCTAAAAATAGTGAAAATGATTCTAAACACCAGATAACTTCCAGCAGTGCTGACCACTCACACTTTCTTCAAAGAGAACTTTTATTGAAAGGAAAATTTCTTTATTGTCGATTAGTGAATCTAATGTTGTAGATATTCGGACACATACATGAGAAGATATATATATATATAAATATATATATATATATAAATAATTCTGTTGGCAAATTGTTGATCCAAATAATCTCAATCCACATAAATAGAGTCATATACGCTGTAGATAATGTCGACAGCTGTCATCCATTTTATTTATCTCGTATTCATAAAGTTATCGACTGCTGATTATAATGGTAAATCTACTATAGTGTTTGGTATCATTTTGACATCGTGCGGTGAATACCGAACAACAGCAATTTAAAATTTTTTAATAGATATTTTTCTTTTTTTCTTTAATTTATAAACATATATACAGATTCGCAAGCGCGCTTGTGAATATATATATTCATGGGTATGTTTATGTGTCTATGGCACATTGTCAACTATGATACAATTATAATAAATTTGCATGCGGTATCCCGCTGCCAAATGCATTTTTCTTTTAACTTTACCACCAACCCACAACAAGCACAGCCACACAAATAGAGACAGGGAGACAGCCCGACCGAGCAGGGAGGCGCAGGACGATAGGATATATATATATAAGCTAGTAGTAGTAGCAATAGGGTAGGGAGAAACGTATATCCGCCATTTAAACGTGAATCGCGTATCATCCAATCGGAAAACCTGTTAAAGCGGATGCCGGTTGCGGCGAGTGTGTTTGTGTGTGCGTGTGTGCGCGTTCGCGTTCGCGTTCGTGTTGTGATAGTTGTATTGAAGAAAAACGCCTGCAGGCATGATTATTAAATTTTCAAGGCTCAGCACGATATAAATGAAAGCCAGACACACCACGTCATTTATTTTTATTATAATTTTTTTTTTGTTTTTTTTCTGTCTTTTTATTTTTTTTTTGTTTTTTGTTTGCGCTTCTTTCTTTCGTTCATTTTGTGCAAATAATTTTAAAAAATGATGATTAGAGATAAAGTAAAAAATTCACGCTTCATTTTGTATATGTATATTTATAGATCATCTTGTACTGAAGAGGATATTAAAGAAGCCTTCACTTCAAATAATTTTGAGGTTAAAGCTTTTAAATTTTTCCCGTAAGTACTTTATATGTGAAGAAATATATTTTCCGTTATATATACTTGTTAAGTGTGTATTGTTTTTTACTTTATCCATTGACAATAAATGACAGTAAGGACCGTAAAATGGCTTTGCTGCAGCTTTCATCCGTGGAAGAAGCCGTCTTGGCTTTAATTAAAATGCACAATCATCAGTTGTCGGAATCGAATCATTTACGCGTCAGTTTCTCGAAATCAAATATCTGAAATAACTCAATATCGTCAGCAACAGCAACAACAATAACAGCAACAGCAGTAGCCGCAGCAGCAACAACAACAACACCTTTTGTTACCAGTACTACTACTACTACAACAACTACTACTACTACTACTACTACTACAACCGCTATAGCAACTACTACTACTAATACTACTATTACTACGACTATTACTACAACAACAATAGCAGCGACAGTAATTACAAATACAACAACAACGGCAGCAACATTAGCTGCAACAACAGCAACAACAACAACATCCATAGGAACGACTAAACATAAAGTTTACGTATAAGTGAAAATCTATGAGATTTAAGTTGAATAAAAAAGCAAAAAAAAGAAAAAAAAAATAATAATAACATCTAGAACTATATAAAACAAACAAACGCATATAAGGCAGCAAAATATAGTATTAAATACTAAACTACAACAACAACAACAACAGCAACAAATAAACAAAAACGAAAAGTAAAAAAAAAAAAAACCATAAAACGGACACAATATATAGAAAATAACTAAAACAGTAGTAACTTACAATAGCAGCAAAATGAACACAGGAACAATTAATGACAACATCGGTCGGCAACAACAATAATAACAATAAATGGAGAAATTAAGCAACAGTAACGATTTAAGTAAAAATTTTCCGTTACAATTTTATATATATTAATTAATTTTAATTAATTAATTATTTTTACTATTATTTTTAAATTTTAAGTTATATATATAATTATTTAATAATATAAAAGAAGAGAAATACTTTTGTTGAAACTCTCTTACATACAATCGCAACAAGAACAACAATCATAAATGTAACAAAAATGACAACAACATCAGCGTCAGCGTCTACTACAACAAAAGTATAACAACAAAATTTATTCCACCTTAGCTACTCGACAGATTACACAAACAAAACAAAACAAAAACAATTTATATAAAATTCGATAAAATAGAACAAAAAAAAAAACAACAACAACAAAAAAGAAAAAAAAGGACGAACACAAAATTTGTTGCACGCACACACACACACACACACACATTCACACTGAGTATATCCGAACTTTTTATTTCCATTTCTTTTTTTGTGTTATAGTAGCATAGCCGAAATTCCCAAATAACAAGATAGATACAAACAAACACAAACAAACAAACAAATAAACTAATTAATTATCATTATAACGATTTAATAAATACCCTATCCACCCACAACACACGTGCGCATGCATGCATTATAATAATAATCTTACTTACTTCTAAGCAGAGCATTATTATTCATTCTAAAATGTAACCGACAAATACCACACAATTATTTTCAACAAAATTTATATATTAATGCTAGCCACTGTACGACCATTTGTCTGTTTTTTTTTTTCTTTTTTTTTTTATATATATATATATAGTTTTTTATTTTTCTTTACTTTTAATAATTCCTACTCTTTTTACATAAAACCGATAGAAGATAATTCATTATTTTTTTTGCTCCTCTTTTTTCCCCCTTAACTTTTTTAAATGCTTACGTGTATATTTTATCATCTGTATGTTATTAAAAAAAAAAAAAAAAAAAAAAAAAATACACATGAGTAATGAGCAAAAAATGAATTTTTTTTTACTCCTTATGAAAAACATAGATGTTCTCAGTATAAATGATGCAGTGGGCGTGTCCTTCGACCGATTTGGCCCATTTGCAATACCAACCTGCGTGCAAGAACTACCATTGTTTTTGACAAAATTGAAAATCGGTTTTTGCGGCCAGGAGAATGTTTGCAATAAACATTACACAAATGGACAGACGGACGGACATGGTTAAATCAGCTTAGAAATTCATGCTGATCAGCAGCATGTACACATTGTGGGTTTTCTGAAGCTTCCTTCTCGACGTTACAGGCGTTTTGATAAAATTAATATACGCCGCATACTTGGGTGACAGGTATAGAAAGGAAAAAATTAAAATTTCCCTCCCATTTGAACGCACGGCGGTTTTAATGTTAAGACTATTTGCTCTTAAATTAATAATTATCTATTCCGTCACATTCCACACAGTCCCACGTTGTCCGGAATAGAAAAATATTTTACTTCGATTCGTTTAAGGTTTTATTTAATATCTTAACAACAAGTTCAACATATCATCAATTGTTTCATTGTGAAACACTGCCACTTTACGAAATAAAATCGCTAATATATAAACATAACATATTTTTTTTCTTTTTTTTTTATTAAAATTTTCACTATAATCTAGAAAATAAAAAAATGGTCTCTGAATGAACACAACTACTACTACTAACTACTCTTACTTATTGGTTCCCTTCTCTTCCAACAATGGCGAACCTATATCTTCGTCTACGCGTAAAATTTGCAAGCGACTAGGACCCATTATCATTATACTTCGGCGAGAGCTTAACAGCATTGATGACGTTCTCTCTTTGTTCACTTGGAAACTCATTGGATAAATGATAGATAACCCAATTGAAAACGAACTAAGACAAGTTGCTGCGTAAAAAAAACGGATATCTTCAATTTGAGAAATTGCACTTCTTTATAACAGCTATTAGCTCGTGATCGTTCATCTCGTTCTCTCTTTGCTCTCTTAGAAACCCATTCGACAAATGAGAGATGACCTTATTGAAAACGAACTCAGACAAGTTGCAGCATAAAAAAAACGGATATCTTCAATTTGAGAAATTGCACTTCTTTATAACAGCTATTAGCTCGTGAACGTTGATCTTGCCAGGCTTAGCCCAATAGAATGAAATGCGAGTAAATTTGATGCTAAATAATTGCAATTGATTAACAATAGAGTTTTACAATTTTTTTTGAAAAACTTACGTTTTGTAAAAGGGAAAAGTTGAAGCCCGCGCCATTAGAGGCCCGAGTAGGGTGAAAAGTAAAACGAAAGCATACCAAAACCAAAATATGATATCGATTTTCTTATTGATTATATTTAAAGCCATAACGCAAACAATATCGTGCATTTGTAATATGCCACTGCTATTATATATATTTATGAAAATGACATTTTGTAACTTCCGGGAAAGCCATATCGAAAGCGTCCAAAGCATCCAATATCCGTTCAGTCCAACGTTCGGCGCAAATTTTTGCATTCAAACCGAAAAATAAATTCGAAAAAGATTTGTAATATAAGATTAAGTACATTTAATAGCTCCGCAAGGACCATATGCGCTTCCCGCGCATTATTTAAACGCATACGTTCAATTATCGGACAGCGTATGTCTTTAATACGGTATTCAGTCTCTTCCAGGCAAGGCATATACAGTTGTTAAACTGTAAACCAAAGCTTTAATACGGCCATCTAGCCAAAAGGAAAAAAGAAAGCATAAGGAAACAAGCAGGGAATTTGTAGTCGGGCAAGGCCGACATGTAGATACCCTGCACAATTTCGCGTAATACATATTATTTTCTCGTTTTGGTTCTAATACGTTAAAAATTACAAATTGTTTTCATGTAAAGGGCTTCTTTTCATGGAAGCCCGCATATTGGAGGATGCGCACTGCAGAATATGACTTAATCCAAATTAAGCAAAATTAATTTACTTCCCAAAAATATCTTTCATTTTCAATCATAAAAAACTAAACTCTATATAAGGCATTGCTTTTCATGATAATCCCTCTATATGTTAAAAAAAAAAATGGAAATAGGGAAACCCAATTCCCCATTCCCATCCCTATTTTTCTTTTTGCTATATTACTACTGTGGACCAATTTTCATCATAAATTAGAAAAAATTAAATCCAATCAACAAGCAGTTAATTAAACAACAAGAAGAATATCCATAAAAAATTTTAGGAAATTTTATTAAAAGGAAAAAAATTTGTCGTGTTTTTGTTTTCCATTGATTATAAGAATGCGTAGATGGAAGATGAGTACATCTAAAAGGACGATTTTTTGTGCATGGACTGACTCGTCCCGTTGTGGTGTTGGGCAAATTGCAAAAATAAAATTTGAAAGTCTTCTGTTTTTTTATAAGTTTTCCGATAGATATGAGTTTCTATTTGTCTTTTCTTGAATCTGATGTGCGTGACAGTAACTTTTCAATCCGGAATGGTTAAATATAACCTTCTTTCTCCTTTTCAATTCTTCGCTTCTTTTAGTCTCTAAACTGTTGTTGGAGCAAGATAGTTACCAGCCAAAGAAAAGTACAGTGCAAGTATCTTTTGTAAATGTTCTCTTATTCTCAAAAGTTATTCTCAGTGACACACATACTGGAATTCCGGAAAATTGAACTATACTACTTATTTGTGTGAGTTGGATTATGAAAAGCATGAATTCTTTTTGATACATTCAGCAAAAGCCAGTCTTTGAAGAAGCTACAAATCTTCGTGATTATAAGAGATTAAAAAACAATCTATGAAAGAATTAAAAGAAGATTTAAGTCATAATTAAAAACACAATCCTCCCTACCCAGCTGCTTATAAGTAGATGTAATTTTCATGCCATGTGTACCACTTTCGGTACACGCTAACAAATTTAATGCATATGAATAAATAAATGCAGACAGCGCGTTGTTAAGCATAATTACATTTAATTCTTACATTTTTGTATCCGAACTGACATGCAAATGCATTTTTCCCCCCGTGCAACGTGTTAAGCAACAAGACGATGGATTTATTTGAAAAAAAAAAGAAGAAGAATCGAAGATTTTCAAATTGTGTGGCATCACTGCTACTTTGGCAACTATTTATATATAGGGTTTTGAAAATAGCTTTGCTCTTACACCTCTTAATCCATGATTAGTGCAGTTGTGTTCGATGTCTTTCTTTTTTCGTTATGTAATAATAATTTGATTGGATTTGTTGGTAAAAATGCACAATTTTGATTTAGAATCTTTATGAGTAACAGACTAATGGAACATGGAACAACATATTTCTGAAAGGTATGTTTCTATAACTTAACCTAAAATTTTTTTTTATGGTAAACTATTTACAATATTTGACTGTGTGTAACCTGAGTTTAAAATACAATATATAAGGATCTGCTAAAAAAATTCAAAAAAAAATCTCTTTTGTTGTCTTGCAACGTAA